TTTTTTTTGCGATTATTTTATTTTAATTCAATAATTATTGTTCTCTAAATGGCAGATGGACAAATACCCTCTGCTTAGGGATCAGGTGGAGAAAATTGTTGTTCAACATGGAAGGAAAGGAGAGGTTAAATCCAAGGATCAGGTACTTATATTGAAATGTACAAACATAAGCTTTTGGGAGCCATGGTTGATGCTGTGCAGTCAGAAATTGTTGCTGGGGTTACAGTTTGCATTCATGCCCTCTCCAAGGTGATCACATTTTGTTGGGCAGGACACTTGCTTTTCTCTGCCCAGTTGTAGTGATGGGTATAAGCAAATTAAATGCTGGTGGTAACCCTACAAAAGGCCTACTGGGTAGCATCCTATCTGGGAGGAAATAATGTATGGCATGAGGTATATACCAAAAACTTACTAAATATCATCCATGCTTCCTTGCAGGTTAAAACGTTTATTGACATGGAACTCGCTTATATCAACACAAATCATCCTGATTTTATTGGATATGCAGAGTAAGTCAATTTCATTTCATTATCTGAACTGATACTGAGCTTTGTGGTTGGTTGTGGACAATAGTGCATTGTTCATGGCTACTATTCTGTAGGACAGGCAGTCCTCCTTCAGGTGTATGGAATAGATATTTCTTCCACATTGCCACATCTGTCTTCTTGTTGCTAAGATCCTGGGTGGATAAAAAATAATGGCTGCCTCTAGTTGTTCAAGGATGGATAACACTATGGTGTTTTTAAAAACTACTGGGACCTGGTTCTGGTTGTTCCAAGATAGCTTTGTTGATTTTGTTAATACTTACCCACTGCTGTATGCAAGCGAATATATGAATTATCAAATATTTGATCAGCAAAAGAAAGTCTTGAAGACGTGAGATCATTGTAGTTATTTACATGAACATACATGTACTTTTAACAGTACTTTAAAAAATAATGCTTGACTTAGAGCTGCAATACCAAGTGCAATGCCCTACCAATTGGGCTATCAAGCCAACTGGAGCTGGGATGTTGCAAATTTCTGTTACATACCTGTAGATGGTAAAAATATGCATGAATATATGAAACATACAGTATATTCAAACTGCAAGAAAATGATTTAAAGACATGATCAACAGATCATTGCAAGCGATTCAGGGTAGACTTTCTCCACGAGTACTTGGAGCCTCATTTGTGCTACTCGAGCAAAGACGTTTCCGACAATACTGAGGAGGGGGAAGCCATGATAGTTGTTGCAATTGCTCCTATCACCCTTGTTTTTATAAAGAGTGACACTGAATATTGGTATCCGTTGTGTCTTGTGGCACTCTGCCTTCCCTTCAGCACAGGCAAAGAATCTTGTGCTGTTGGTGGAGGATGGATGCGTGACTTGTAACACTTCGGGATCTCTGCAGGGATACCGTTTTTTCCAGGTCCCTTGCCGGGTACAAGAGAGTCCATGGCCTTGTTGAGCTCCTCACCAGTTGGCTCTCTACAGTGTATCTAGCTCCTTCAGCACAGACAGGCACTCAAAAGCATTTAGGGCTCCTTCTGAGACAACATTGTCTCTTGCATATTACTCAGATGCCACTAAATGCCCATTTAATTTTCCAGATATGCAATCCTGAACTGCTGCCAGAAGTTGGGTAGCATGGGAGCGATAGCTCCCTTAGCTGGCAGTCAGTTCTGTAATATTTTAAAATGCAGTTGAATTGTCATTGATGTGTATTATTTTCTTGTAGGGCATCAAGTAGTACCAACCCTGGAGAAAGAAAAGTAAAGAGAACTGTGTCAAACCAGGTGTGTTCAACTTGGCAAAATCAACTTTGAGCTCAATTTTGTTGTTCATGTTTGAGTTAATTTTGGATGTGTATGGACCATACTGTATTTCATTGTGGAACAACTAAAGTTGTAACTTTTCTCATTTTCTGTACTTTGATTTAAACTTTCCAGTCCCACAGTTTTGTTTGGCTGTTTTCTTTATAGGCTTTTGTTCTGTAAAAAAACTTTAAATATTAAAGAAAAAATGTTGAGCTAAGCAATTACAGATTATCTCTCCACAACCCATTAACACTCACCTTGTATTGTTTTCTCTCAGGTGATTAGGAAAGGGTGGCTGACAATAAGCAATGCTGGGTTTATGAAGGGAATGAACAAAGAGTACTGGTTTGTACTCACAGGTAAGTTATGTACCTGTTCAATAAGATAGGGTGAAGGTAAAGTCTGCATACGAGCCAAGTGGTGCACTGGGCCGGAGCTTATTCCAGTTTCCTTAGTATGAAGCGACTAGGAGTATTTCTACTCCCCCCTGGATGGGATGCTAGTTCATCGCAGGGGAACCCCCAGCATTAAATTCGCCAGTACCAATTTATACACCTGGGTGGAGAAAGGCACCGTGAGAGTAAAGTGTCTTGCCCAAGGACACAACACAATGTCCCGGCCAGGGCTCAAACCGGGACCACTTGATCTGGAGACGAGCGCACTAACCATGAGGCCACCGTGCCTCCACATGTACCTGTTCAATGGTAAACTAAAATTCAAATTTTGTGTGCTCTTACTTGTGGGTATGTCCAGATGAAACCCTGGTGTAAATTCTAAAAAAGTGCAGCTTTCAAGCAGTACTTTTATGTCTCTTTGCCGTGTTCGTATGCATTATGTAGAAATACATACTTGAACTGAATCTGGGCCCAACTAAGATCCCACCTCGTTTTTCTCTACTTTTCTTTAGTTTGCTTTGAGTGCTTTCTGTGGCTGTCAGGTGTTGAGAAAGACATCAACATCAACAGTCCTTGTTTCCTTTTGGGCAGATCTGCACTTTTCTCCAGTGAACCACCACCTGTCTAGTGCAGTGGTCTCTTGCATCCTACTCCTGCAAAAATGAACTGATGCCAACTTGTTCGGATGTGTTGGGTCATTGACTTGGCCTCTTTGTAGTTAAGGCTTTCAAGAAACGTATCTCTTGTCCCAGGGTTGTCCTCCTTAAGACGCTCTTGCGCATCTTTTGTGTTAGTTTCTGTGGTCAAAGAATATTTCTGTGTTGTTGATTATTCCTCTTTAGTATCACCCAACCTTGTGGACTAATGCAAATCCTACATTTTAATTGGCTAAGCTACTAGAGGACTATTAGTAATAGTCCTCGTGTAGCGAAATTGGTGCAATTGAGCGTGACGCTTTCTTTTGTTTTAGTCCCAAATAAATCTTTCTTCAACTTGCATTTGCTTACTTTATTATTGCCTTTTTCTGTCTGACTAGTTGGGTGATAATAAAACAATAATTGTTTTATTATCTAATTATTAGACCCTTCACCCTCAAGGGCCATGGGTCAATAGCCCATTTGGCTTTGCCTCATGGGCTATTGACTCCTAGCCCTTGCGGGCTATGGGTCTAATTGTTAATTAGCCCTCTTTAGCCCTCATTTACTGGCTTGTTCAGGATTCCTGCCAGGGCCATATTTATACATGTACATTGTACAGGTACTTCACCCTGATAGCCAGGCCCCTTCTTCTCTTTTGCTCACTTTCCACAAATAACGACTCTAGGGGGTGGACTTTAAGAGTCATGCATGGAAACGAATTCAAGGAATCTCAAGACATTGTATTCCTTATTCAACAGGTGCATGTAAATTGAGGGGGATAGAAATTGAAGATATTTCAAGATTGTACTGATTAATGAGAATGCTTCTACTAGACGTTGTTGTTATTTCTCTTTTTAAAAGACCTTTTTCCTGGCATTGAAACCCAGGGGAGGGAGGGGGCGGGGTAGGAATTCTGCAAAGTCCTATACGGGGAGGCACGGCCCTGAGTTCCCAACCCCTTACCCTTTATTATACATGTACCATTTTGACAGAAAAGGAACCCCTTTCCTATACCTTAAATTGGAGAAGGGTACCCCTGTCACATATTTCATAACTGGCCTGTATTATAAATACATGTACATCATCAAAAATGGAAGTCTTCAAGATTGTCATTTTCATGCATTGTGTAATAATTATTATTGAAATGATACTATCATAAGGTGCATCTGTTAGAAGTATTTTTATTAAAGGGACTTTAAAAGAACTAAATGACAGAAAGATTTACCTACCCTTTCGTATACCTCAACTTGTGAAATCCCTACCCTTTAATATACCCCAAGCCTGAAAAAGGTACTCCTTTAGGCGGAGCCTCCCCGTGTAGGCCATTACAGGGACTACTATCCCCCTCCTCCTCTGCAGGGATTAAAAGTGGTGGGGACAAATGGTAGAGGTTACATACTGCTTGTTTGTTTGTTAACTAAGCTGACATGCGATGTTAAAGTAGCAAACGTAGGTTATGCCAGAAATAACTCCCAGCATTAGAAATCTTCAGTGTTAATATTTGTTATCTTATTTTTTTTAGCCGAAGCTCTTTCATGGTATAAGGATGAAGAGGTAAGATGGATTTTCAAATACAGATGACAATACTGTTGATAGAGTTTCTTTTGAGTTGAAAACCTTGGTAGAGTTGAGTTCATGTTTAGCATTTAGATGGTGAGGATTTAGCATACTATCATGCTAGCATTTAGCAAGCTAAAATATTATCATGTAACCATGTTAACTTAAAAGCCAAATTGTTTTTTTTTTATCAGCTTTCCCCTCCATTGTTTATTCATTTAATTTTTTACATAATTAAATTGTTACTTAGCTCATGAAAATGTTGATGAATGAAATAAGATAAATGAAATGTTAGCCTGGTTACATGTTAGCATGTTAGTATACTGGCATGCTAACATGCTGTAGGAGCGCAGTGGCCTCATTGGTACGCTTGTTTTCGGATCGAGCATGCTAGCATGTTAGAATGCTACATACTAACATGTCAGCCTGACAATATGCTAACATGTTGGTAGGTTAGGTTGCAGTATGTGTTGCAATATGTTCAAGTTAAAACTCATGTTTAAAGGTGCTCAGTCACGGTATTTTGAGTTACATGTATTTTGGCCATATACAAAGTTACCTTTTAATGGTAGGAAACCTGAAAGTGACAGTTTAATAAGATAGAAAAACACCAAAGAGATAATGGTAAACCATAAAGGAACAAGGTTGGCAAAGGATGGAGAAGATTGACACGGATTACAAACGACGAATTTGAAAAATCGAGGCTAAACTTTTCAATATGCGCAAAACGTCACGTAGCTCCTTTAAACTCCAACTTGTCTTTGTATAGAATTCGTCTGAGGAGATTGCATCTGGCATATCAGCAACGTGATGATCGAGCCACTGCGCCTTACTGCCAGGTAGCATTGGGACGAGAATGGTCAAGTTTCTTCTTTTTCTTTGGCGGGACCAAATTTACGCATGCTCCATACAGTAACCTAATGTACATGTGTTAGATTCGACACGACGTTTGAAGCGGTGTCGCATTTCTGTCGGATAATGCGAGAAGACCAGTCGAACATGCGGCGGAAATGCCGCAGCCGATTCAGACGTCGAATTTCCGTCGATTTAAATTCGTTTAATTGAATTCGACACGGTAGAAATGCGACGTATGAACCGGGCGTAAGATATTTACTGAGTGACTGTGTCACTATGTTAGGTTGTCTAAGGGCCAGTTATTTTAGCTCACAGATGCTATTGATGTACTGGGAAATGTTTACGTGGTTCTCTTTTAAAGGAGGAAGTTAAAAAAAAACACTTTTGATTTATGTGTTGTTTTCAGGAGAAGGAGCAGAAGTATCAGTTGAGGTTGGACGGTGTGCGCTTGCGTGACGCAGAGGCAGGTTTCATATCCAGAAAGGCTGCTTTTGCTATCTTCAATCCTGATCAGAAGTAAGTCAGCTTTTCTCCGCCGTCAAGATACTGAATCTAGTGCTGAACAGCGCTAATGATTTCAAGGTTTCTTCACGGTAACAGAGTTCAAACACGCACATCTGTCCCTTCCATTCGGGGGTAATAGACAGGACTCTTGATCTTGAGGAATTCACATTTGGAGAAGGTTGAGCTTTTGTCTTGAAGCAGTCCTGACAAATACTTAACAATTTTAGGACGAGGTTGAGTAAAATATCGTGATTTCTCAGTGACGAGCAGATCTATTATTTGCCGAAGGCGAAGGCCGAGGCAAATAATTGATCTGCAAGACACTGACAAATCACGATATTTTGTGATAAATCATTCGATCATTAAGTTTATTTTCATATTTAAATTACTCTCTGTCGGCTCAAGGAAGCGTGGTTACAATTAGACATGAGTAGAACAGAAAGTCACGTGGTGGGTTCTCAGCCATTGAAAGGAAGGAAAAAATGCATCGAATGATAATTTGTATTAGTAAGGGCTCAGAACAAGGATGAGATAAAAAGTATTTTATAGAGTCATTGACCAAGATAAATAGAATGAACGCTAAGATAAATGATATGAATGAAATTTTTTCTTTGCTGCATGGCACCAGAGGTCTTTAGGAAAAGGACAATAGTGGGCAATTCCATGAGACATGCCTGAAGAGAATCATGGTAGTTGTATCCATGAAAACAAAATCCAGTCCAAGATGATGAAAACAACTACCATGATCCCCTGCAGGCTCGTCTCATAGAGGGAATTGCCCATCAAAAAACTGAAAAAAGTTAGGTGCCAGAGTGAGCAGGATTATTGTTTTAGTCTTCCCGATAAACCTAGAGGCACCAAGGAAAATCTGTATGCAAGAAATACATGGAAAGCAGTAAGCATAATCTTTATATTGAAGCTGGAGCTTTAACAACCCATGTCTCGATATATTCAGTCGAAGGAAACCTGAAAATAATGCTTTACCACGTTATTATAAACAGTTTAAAACGAGAGCTAATGTTGAACCATAAAGGAGCAGGGATGGCAGATATTGGGAACGATTTATGATGGATTACGAACACAGAAGACTTTGAATTTCTCGATGCATCTCACGCTCCCCCGGTTTGAAGTCCCTTGGGAAATTTCTCTTGCGGACTCGGTTCATGGTACTTTTAAGTGCCCTTGTAGAGTACATACAAGTGCTTTGTCGCGTAAGCAAGGTAATATTTTATTGATGAGAACTAGTGTCGTGTCCTTTTAACACTCTTTAGAAACTTATTTAAAGACTACAAGTCGCTGGAGCTGGCGGGGGAAAACCAAGATTCAGTAGACAGCTGGAAAGCCTCGTTCTTACGTGCGGGGGTTTACCCTGAGAGGGAAGCATCAGAAGAAAAGAGCCTGGTAAGGACCATAAGAAGAACGCGCTCACGTGATCAATAGTTCAACGTGAGATTTGCGTTGATGCGAACGAAAGTAATTAGAATGTGACATCCCTATCTTGGGAGACCAAGATAATGGAGCTAACATCCAACAGATTTTTTAAGTGACTGACAGTATGTCCGTTAGATCACACCTATTACGTTCTTGGATTTCGAGAGAGTGAAGAGGTAGATTGTAACAACTTTGTGTCATCTTTTTATGTACAATTTCTCCTCGTGATACAGCACTAGCTGGCATTATTTTCGGTTCCTCTAACTTGAAACGCAACGCCATGTCAATTTGATGCAGTGTTACAATGTACATGTTTGATGCTCGTCATTTTTTGTCTTTTCCACAGCAAGGTGAAATTGGCACCCTTGATCCGCAGATGGAGCGTCAAGTGGAAACCATAAGAAACTTGGCGGATTCTTACATAAAGATCGTCAGCAAGACCGTTCGAGATCTCGTCCCTAAAACTGTCATGTTCTTTGTGATAAACAATGTAAGCTTTCGTCATTGTATGTACTGTTTTCAGGTGGCAAGTACCACTTCAAATTAATTTAACATATTTCAGCTCTCGGATATGATGAGCAAACCTTGTGTTAATTGGCCATTTTACAAGTGAACATTGACTGACCATGGTATCTGATATTGGATATAAACAAGGCATGAAAATTGGAGTTTTAATCGATTGCGCAGTCTCATTCCCAGTAAAGCAACTTCCATCAATCCCATTCCCAGCGGCCGCGATGCATTTGCTCAGCAACAAAGATCGAGGCTTCAAGGCAAAATCGGAAGTTTAGCCAGCGTAAGCACAGCAGTTACTCTCTGCGCATGTTTAGAAACCTCTGTCAAACTACGATCCATGTTCTCAGTAAAGTCAGAACCAGGATTTTCTGGTTACGGTCTTTGATTTTGCCCAGATCGTAGGGGGGCGTTTACTCATCGCTGACTGAACTGACGCCCGCTCTGGGGACGAGATTGAACATTTATTTTATCAAGTAGCTATAATACTAAGCTTCACTCACTGTCACGTTGTGAGGCACTTGGCAACGTATCTGACAAATGCAAATTAGTGCGAGTCCAAGAATTAACTTACGCTTAGAGCTGTGTACAACACAACGTTGACGACGATAGCGGAGTACACGTCCACGTAAAACTTAAGAACTTAAGTTTAATTTGAAGTCAGAATATTATAAAAGTGTTCCTTGTTTTTTAATCTAAATGCTATTTTCTATTTAACGCACGTAGGTGAAGGATTTCATTGGTCAGGAATTGTTAGCGCATTTGTATTCTAGTGGAAATCAGGTAAGGAAAACACGAAGGCAGGTGTGAAGCTAGTTCTCTCATCGTCCCTGATTCTCTCCCCTGATTAGCAACGTGAACCAGAGGGTAACCAGACGAGTCTAAAATTAGATTGAATTTGTTAAAAGACCTAATCTCGTTATTGCGCAGACAATCAAATGGCTGGAAAGCCAGCATTCCCCTTTAGTAGACAGCACATTTTGATTTACAGCATGGCGTTTTTTAGGCACGTGAAAAAATCGTGGCGCTTTTTTTCTTCAAAGCATTCTTTGCTTGCTGTTCACTGTTTACTCACTCGTTTAAAGACTTGCGTGTAAATTCAATAAGAATATCTGCTGCGTTTTGCCATTGATTTAGAATGACTTGATGAAGGAAAGCGACGCCGAGGTTGCTCGCCGAGAGGAGATGTTACGCATGTTTCACAGCTTAAAGGAAGCTCTTCGGATTATTGGTGACATAGACGCATCCACAGTCAGCACAGCCCTCCCACCGCCTGTTGACACAGGAAACCTGGACCTGACTGATTCATACAAGCCGCCAAGGTATGACTATGACGTCACTCATTTGCTACGCTCGACACTATAAACAGTGTAATAAAACGCGAGTTCTGCTTCCATCAACTGAGAAACTGACAAACAAAGGTATAAACGAACAAACGGACCAGCCAACCAAGCAGGAAAAGAGCGCAACTGGATTAACCAGAAAACTCACGAAGAAGTGAACGAAGGAAGGAACGAAGGAACGAATGGTTGGACGGACGCACAGACCAATAATTATTACTCAAGGACCCAAACAAACAAATGAACAAACAAGGGTGAAAAGGTTAACGTTTACTAAACGTTATCAATAACGCATCAGTTTTCTGTTTCACATTGCGGAGTAAATTTTTTAATAAACCTTTTAGCAGTTTTCTTGTTACGGGTGACTATGAAGTACACATGGAGATAAACAAAACTAATGATTTTCTTTTTGTTATTACAGGGGGGCTAGACAACCTCCTGCACCTCGACCGACCTCAACTCACGGCTCAAATCACGCCCCGCCATCTCGCCCGTCCCGTCCCGTACCGGGCGTACCATCCCGACCAGATAGTGCGCCTTCGGTACCCAAGTAAGTAGATCAGATTGTTTTTGATTTGATTGCCCCACTCTCCCATACACGTGGTTGTTGTTAATCAACACCATTTACATGGCAACTATGTGCTTGGGGATTAACGTAAGCTTAGTCTCGGTCCACTCCACCAAGGTTGACTGAACATTCTTTACCGACTAAGTCTAAGGTAAACCACAACTAAAGGAATGGTATGTTGTGTTATTAGACATTTTAATTACTAACTCTATTTTTATTAGCTGAGAGCACACAACTATTTCACTCTGACATCGAATTGTACAGACGATATGATTTTTACATGCATAGCTGCCATCATTTTTTTTTTTTTTATAAATAATAGATTTAGGATGGGATCATGCATGTGGGCTACGTGCACGAGCCTTAGTTTCTTAGTTCACGCTCAACATGGTGCAACTATCACTTTAAACCCTGTTTGGACCACGGCTTTATTATATAGACGCTCGTTTTCTCAACCTTTAGCACAATTGAGTTCTTTTCCGCTCAAGGTTTAATGCCGTTCTACTTCGGCTGTCCGTGTTAGTTCCTAGACATTCCACTTTCCATTGTTTATTATGTTTAAATTATTGTTTTACGAGATTTCTTCGCCTCCTTCGCAGACGCTCTTAGGGTTCCTCCACGCGTTACTTCCCCACGAGAAGAAGGAACGCGTGACGAGCCCTTAGAGCGTATGCTTGGAGGCTAGAGATTTGATAGAGATTTCACTACCTCACGGTTGGCGCATGTTGGAAAACCTAACTAACAGTGGTCATGTTTCCTTTGATTGAAGATAGGTGCATGTACTTCGCAAACAAAGACTTGGATTGCACTTGATACCGTTGCCCACATTGACATGGATGGTACCGATCCTTCTGAACCCCTTCTTTGTCATTTTCCCCGCTTTTCGCTAGATGAACTACGATGGATAGCATTGTAATAAGTGTGTGTGTTCCAGTGACCTTCTCTGATATGTTAATTTGACCTTTTCCATCACCACAGGAGACCCAACGCACCTGGCAAACCTGCCCCTCCACCGCCGGTACCCGGTCGCCCTCCTGTGCCATCAAGACCTTAAGTAGTAATCACGGCAACGTAGGATCCAAATGTCACACCAAACGTTTCATTCGTACCATTATATGAATTAGTCGTATTAAAATCTTCCAAAACATATGGGAAAATATAATAACCTTTTGATGAATAGTTAGCTTCAAAGTATGTTCGACGAAGCTATGTACTGTAGTACGATTAGTAATCCAGTGATGAATTTCTAAGCTGTCACTTCTAATCAAGAATAGTACTTACTAGGCATATATTAGAATCTTAGGATAGCCCACTGACGAATAGGTATACTAACAATCTGATTGGCTACACAGGGGCTATGTATTTAAGTATTATTATACGAGCGCGCGTTGGATATGAGATGGTAGATAGCCAACGAGGCGCATGGCGCTGATTTGGCTATAAACATCTCATATCCAACAAGCGCGAGTGAAATGAATGTTTTATTAAAAACACCCCAAAATATAGAAAACTAAAATAAAAAGAAAAACGCCGGAATCAATTCCGCGTACGCTTACCATATTTGTAGAACGTGGTATCATGGCTTATATACCATGATGGCTAAGCCAATGAAAATTCTTGAATCGGTTAGACCGGTCAGTGGGTTATGATGGCTCGCTTTCGGTTGCTATCGACTGTGATATCATCAACCGATAGAAACCTCGAGCTCGCTGTTTAATTGTTAAATATTACCATTCTCAGAGAGGCAGGATGGAGGGAAAGTGCAAAGAACTTATATAGTATGATAGGGATAGTTTAGTCTAAAGCTTGTTAGTCACGAAAACACGCGCAACTAACCAAAAAAATACGCTTTAGTTGGTTTCATTTTGTGTTCGCCGATTTAGAATAGTAAGAGGGGAAAATATGAACGAGTGTATAAAGAGAAGAGGGAGTCCACGAGGGGAATAGCTTTTTAACAGTTGTACAGTATTGATAAAAGATTCAATAATCTTGCGATTGGTATCGCCCAGATACCGACTATCGCAAACTTGTAGCCTCTTCCAGGCGTTCAGTTGGTGCGCAGCACGAAAAACGGCCAGCGAAAAAAATTGAGGAGAACCGCGGCGATAGAAACTAACTGAACACCTGCAATAGGCTAGCAAACTTGCAGTGTGTTAGGCAGCACAACCCAACTAGATCGATAGACGACAGGCGCATCGACGAGAATCAGCAGGAAAACTGCTCAGTTTACGTGTCTCACGAATGTTCTGTGTTAACAGTAACTAACGTTAAGTGAGAAAAGGCCGCAGTTTGACTCCTGCGACCACAATTTGAAATTCTCGGTTACTATTGATTTCATTTGTAGCTGAAGTGGGGCTGGGCCACTAGTCTACGTATATGGTAGCAAATACAGGCTGTAGAGATAACTAGATCATGCAAATTTGGAATACAGTTATCACTAAGTTCGATAGTCTGGCATCAGTCTGTGAGAGTTGAACACGTTTATAATCTGGTAAGCCTGTGAGCAGGCTCTCTTGTTTGGGCTGGGGGCGCAAAGCGCGCCTGCGAGTCGAGTTTCTAACCCCTCAAGGTCGCTCGCGCGCTAAAACGAAAAAGCCAGAAATCGAAAGAAAGCAGTACCAAACACTACAGCCTGCACGCAGGCTATAATCAGGAGTGTTTAGTGAATTCAGTTAGAGCAATAACCACTTTTTGACTCGTGATACTCAAGTCATCGCGGGCATAGTCTAATTTTACAATGGCTGATACTGTATATAAAAATAAATTTTGTAGAGAAAGAAGACAATGAAGTGCAGAGTTCTATTACCACTATGAATGTAGTTGTGTTTTGTGTAACCTAGGCCTTCTGTAACAACATGCGAGTGTAGGCTAAGACACCAGCCTCCACAACTGTAAATAAGTCGCGTGGCTCCTGCCATCATGATGGGCTTTTGTTATTATTTAGCAAGAGGATTTAGGAATTATTAAAGTTGCAAACTCAGAAATGTTCTTCCAAAGTATTTCGTCTTCGATTATCCCTTATATGCTTATTTGTTCATATTTTACGTTGTTGCAATCCTTAGAAATTTATTTTAATGTTGGGAAATATTAATGGAAAGATAGGATCGATTTCCGCCGCTTTCTCGAACCCGGTCTGCGTTCCTTTCGGGGGAGGAGCGCGAGCTCCTTTCCCGAACAGCGACTGGTAATCGAACCTATGAGAAAGATCGCCTTCAATAAATGCAGGCCGTGAATAGCGAAAGACTGAAAGACTTGATGAAAAGAGATATGCGTATATGAAAGTTCTCCTAAAACACATACGGAATTCCATATCCGATGGGGTGGCACGTTCCCATACACCTACAGTAGAATCCTGGAGGCAGATTCGAATATCACCAGCCGCTACAACTCATAACTCGCTAACGCAATCACGAGTTAAATATCGAGGGTTCGAGAAATTCGGATTCCACTGTAGATAGCTTTGCAGTCGATAGCTTTTTGCATACAAAAAGCTCTTCGTGACTGCAGTAATCTTATTCCATGGACTTACATGTAATTCTCAGCACAAGAGGCGTAATATACAGTAGTTTATGTTTAGCACTCATGACTGGCAGCAAAACCACTTGTGGCAGCAGCGTGGGGTAGCGTAGCCCAGTAGTTAGGGCCCCGGTCTCTAACTCCGGAGGTCGTGGGTTTAAATCCCGCTCTGACCACCAAGCTGGAGTTGTTTCTTCGTAGACCGTAGTTCAAAACCTTGGTCGTGTTTGTAAATAGCCAACTGGTCTGCCTCCCGCCAGTTGGGATTTTTAAGCCTTATTTTGTTTATTTGACATGCTTCTTTCTTACATTTTAAGTGGCATGCCTGAGAACTAGCTAGTTGTGGGTAAGGGCATCGACCACGATAAATATTCAACATTTAACATTTTAACATGAGCCGTATAGTCCTTTCGAAAATAGCGTACTTGCTTGCTTCTCTCTTTCTATAATATATACACGTGCAATTCCCCGTCCAGAAGTGAATTTCACTTAACATTTTATTCCTCGAGGCACCATATCAATGTTCATTTAACACCTTTTTGATACCATTTATTGCTAATTTCACCCTTTGCACAATACCCGTGCTGGACGTTGGCACTATTCTTCGACATGTTCAGTCGAGAGCTAAATTCTCTTTACTAGTCACCATACAATTCTTCTAATGTTAGTTCTGAGAATGTCTTGGTTTACACCTCATCATTAACACCATAATTAACATTATGTTATGACGTGATTGACTTTCTTTATTTTCATCACTATCTATTTGACAATGTATAATTTATATTTTCAGAAATCGGCTGTTTCTTCACTGAAGCCTCCACTTTGTATGGTTCATCTCTACTGTTTGTAAATTCCCACTAACGTAATAAACATCCCACTGCCAACATTAAAAAGCACGCCCATTGGAACTCAATCTACTGCAGGCCTTGTTGTCCGTTAGGAGTCTGGATCAGCGATACAGGTACAGCCTGAGCTACGGTGGACTGGGGCGAGACTGGTAGCGTGACCACTTGCGGCTGCACAGCACTGAGAATGTGAAACGCGTCCGTCGTGAACAAGCTTTCGGTGTTAAGCGGTGTCGCCTGTGCGGCCGTCAGGTTTCCTTGTAGAGCGGCGGTTGTTAAGGTATTAGACGTTGCCATGGTGATGGCGACGTTGGGTGGTGTTTCCTGAGACTCGGGGTTCTGTACAGGTTGTTGTTGAGCCTGAGTTGTTTGTAGAGTAGTTTGTTGCAGTGTTTGCTGCTGCTGTTGTTGTGGTGTTTGTGCTTGTGGAGGTGGTTGTTGTTGCTGTTGTTGTTGTTGTTGCTGAGTGGCAGGCTGCTGAATTGGTTGTACCGCAGACTGCAACTGGTGAACCACCTACAATAGAGCATGTTAGTTTGTAAAACAAAATCCTGTTGTACT